GTATAGATTACAAGACTGAACAGAATGACAAATAGCTTGTCAGGTGAGGCACCTTTTCACCCGGGCGGTCTATAATCGTAAAATGTTCATCCTATCCTATATAATAAATGGTCATCCTGTGTCCTATCCTTCATAGCATTAAAACAAAATTGTCACTTTTGGTTTCTCACTTGGGAATTTCAGCCTCCTATATTTATTTAGCTGAGCAGAGTGTACTCCCATCTTTCCCATGTATCTTGCCCCCTGAACACACTCCTTACCTCCTATGTGACCAATCTCTGTTGTTACCACATTAGATAAGTCTCCAGGGTGCATTGGCCAATCAGTGATCAGTTCCCAGTGGATGTGCATGAACCCCCACAGGGGACCAGCCTGCAGTTTTTGTTTAGGGGCAGCCTGTATTCTATGTGCTTTATACCTCAGGAACCAGTCTCCAGAGTGTGTGCATTTGAGTAGAACCCCAGGCAATTGCAGTAGCTTGATAAGCAGCTGTAAAACATGTCTGGTTACTGGTTTACATGGCAAAGGCCACTAAAGCTAGGTTTAGTGTTTCATACATCACTGCCACTCGGCACAGCCAGGTAGAACACTGTACTACTGCCAGGATCACCTCTCTGCTGCTATAAACAAATCACATGGTTGTCCCTCTTAGCTTCTCATGTTGGGAAATATACATACACAAAATAGAAACAATCTTATATGAAACAGTCCACATACTTCAAATTATACCAAGCAAGAATCTGTACCCATCCAACAATAACGCCTGTCAATGAATGGACACACATTCCTAGTGTATACAGAAACACCTTAAACTGCTTCGAATACAACATTGTTCTTCACACTTTCACAATTCCTAAAATCCGCCTGTATGGTAGATGTGTCCTCTGACTTTACTGTGTGTGATCTCATTGTGTCTGACAGTAATACTACAGGAAGAAAGTGTTACCCAATGTGCCTGATGCCCCTTCCTCCAAACCACCTCGTGACCAGCATACATCGTGATGTTGTAATTACAAATGTTTAGGCATTCTCATGTTTATTTCTGTTGTTTTGTATTTGACACAACAGGAAAAAAAAGCCAAATCTGACACATTCCACGCTAAACTCCAAAACTGGACTGGACAAAATGATTGGCACCCTCAATTAATTTCTGGTAGCACAGCCCTTGGAAAAATAACTGAAATCAATGGCTTCCTGTAACCACCAATGGGTTTCCTACACCTCTCTATATGAATTTTGGACAGCTCTTCTGTCACAGACTTCTCCAGGTCTCTCAGATTGGAAGGGTTCCTTTTCCCAACTGCTGGTTTGAGATCTCTCCACAGGGCCTCTATGGGATTCAGATCTGGACCCATTGCTGGTCAGTCCAGTACTCTCCAGCGCGTTGTCTGAAACCATGTTTGACGTGTGCTTTGGGTCATTGTCCTGCTGTAAGACCCATGACCTCTGATGGAGACCCAACTTTCTGACACCGGGCCCTACTTTGCACCCCAAATTCTTTGGTAGTCTTCAGATTTCATAATGACATGCACACAGTCAAGACATCCAGTACTTGAAGCAGCAAAGAAACCCCAAAACATCAGTGACCCTCCACCATGTGTGACTGTAGGGACTGAATGTTTTTCTTTAAAGGCCTCATTTCTTTTTCTGAAAACAGTAGAATGATGGGCTGCACCAAAAAAGTTGTCTTTTTGTATCGTCTGTCAACAGCACATGCTCCCAAAAAGATTGTGGCTTCCTCAGGGAAGTTTTGGCAAACTCCAATCTGGCTTTTTTTATGTTTGTGTCAGCAGTGGGGTCCTCCTAGGTCTCCTACCATAGCGTCCCTTTTCATTCAGATGGCGACGTATAGTGGGAGCTGACACAGTTGTACCCTGTGCGTGAAGGTCAGCTTGGATTTGTCTGGAAGCTGATCGAGGGTCTTTATCCACCATTCCAACAATCCTTCGTTCCAATCTTTGATCAATTGTTCTCATTCGTACACGTCCAGGGGGATTAGCTCCAGCGCCACGGGCTGTAAACTTCTTGACAATGTTGCGCACAGAGGACACAGGAACATTAAGATCTCTGGAGAAGGACTTGTAACCTTGAGATTGTCCATATATATATATAATTTTTTTTTAATGGGCAGGCTCCAGCATAGTGAACAACCCCCTGACCCTAGCCTAGAGGGAGCATTGGCACCCTCACTACCCATTAGATACAGGTTCACTATCCTTTGGCAACCATAAGCTTTTACATAGAACAGTGCATGTGGTTTGATGGACCAATCACAACCACAGAGCAACAGAAGTAAACTCATCCCATTGGGGGTTTCAATCTCAGTAGATAGAAAACAGAAGCAGGTGGAAATCTACAGTAGCTTGCCTAAACCTGACCTGGGGGGGCACCTGGTGACGTCACCTTGTTAACCAATGGGAGTAGCGGGCTGTGACTCATTGTGAATGATGATGGTCACCTATAGTGATACAAGGGATGATTGCCTCCTATAGTGATGTATAGTGATGATTGCTATTTATCAGGAATGAGCTGCAGTTTGGGGTTTGTGACCCTTTTAATGTAGCAGTCACAAACCATTAGAGAGATGAGGACATGACAATCTGAGCACCTCTCTGCATCTCCATGCTGAGCCGCTCCCCTCCCCCAATCTGGCTTACTAACAGCTACAGGAAGATGAGACTCAGAACGGAAACCCGCAGGGAGGGGACGATGCAACCGACACCTGCAGCAGAGCACTCCGCTCACTGCTCATGACAAATAGCTAACATGCAATTTTATATCAAGATCAGGGCTAAAAAAAAACATTTTCCTGAAGCAACTTGGCTATCTCTTGAAACTGGTTCAAGTCTCGCTGTTTTATGACAGGCTGTCAATCAACCATAGCCAATAGAAAATGATCACGCTGGTCAGTGTAAAGCAATCTGCAGCCCTCCAGCTGTGGTAAAACTACAAATCATATCATGCATCTCCCTGTTGGGAGTCATGCCTGTGGCTGTCAGAGTATTGCAATGCCCTAATGGGACTTGTAGTTCCCCAACAGCTGGGGGGAGGAGGGGGGGGAGGAGTCTGCCTACCCCTGGTATCCTATGATATTTTTATATGTGATTACAAACAAAAATAAAAACAGTTTTGGCTTCAGATGCTTTAACACTGGGGTGGACAAATGAATATGGAATTCAGGAGCCGGTCTGTCCAATCCAGGAGCCAGCAGGATGTTTTAGGAGCCTGGCTCCTGGTTTTAGTCCAGCCCTGCTTTAACATGACAACGTATATCTGATGCTAGATCCACTTTAAAGGCTGTGACACACTGCACGCAAAGCAGCACCGAGCGGTGGCGCGTTGCCTTCGCGAGCAGTGTGTCCTGTATTTTTCTCCTCGGCACGTCAGCTTGCGAGAGCTCGAGGAGCTGAGCGTGCCGAGATGGAAAATGTCATCTTCAGCAAATCGGCTCGTGCGTATAAACCCGCGCATCAGCATGCAACGTCTGGCTGGTTGTTACGCACGAGCCGATTGGCTGAAGGTGCAGTCAATCATCTGACTGCATGGCTGAAGGGGCTCAGCTCACAGCTAAATATCAGTCATGTGCATCCTTTTGACAAGGGCGCTATTCAGACAGTTGCCCAAAAAACTGAGAAGAGCTCACAATCGTTACCAATGGATTGTACAAGGAAATCAGATCAGTGGCATGGGTTGCTGCTGTAGTATCAGAATAGACATTTGCATTATCACTCATCTGCGGTGTGTGATGGTATCATTGCTCAGACTGGCACCATACTATAACGCCACGCGTGACACATAGAGGAATCTTCACACTATGAAGGCTGAGTCATGGTAAAATGTCATATGAACCAAGTCCATGACTAATCAATCACAGAAATATAGACTAGCAGTTCTTATCCTGGACATTTCTAAAGCAGAACTCTGGACTAAGGTGCCAATCTGTTCTGGGCCCTCGCCTCTTCTGGGAGTGTCTAATTACTGGGTGTGCTGACCCAGCTCCTCTGTCCCTCCATTCATTTCCCCATATAACCTTTTATGTAGCTGCTAGGGGAGGAGCAAGGGGAAATACCATACCGTGTCACTTGAGTGACAGCTGTGAGTCTGCTGGGGTTGCTGATATCACATCCAAGATGGCGACACCCAGCGGCAGTCTCAGGGCTTTTGAACGTATGCACAGGGGAAATAACAAGCATAATATCCATTACATGTACAGATGCTGTTATGGGAAGATTGTTGAAATGAATGGTCTGGTGAGAGGGTCTCCTGAACTGCAACAGATAAAGATCAGGTCTCCTGCCCTACCAGGCAGTGCTGTGCTGTGTGACAGAGCTGTGTGACAGAGCTGTGTAAATATCAGGACTGAGTGGACAGAAATAAAAAAAACCTCAGACATGAGCTGTGTAAACCTCAGGACTGGATGGACAGAAATAACAACAAAAAACCCTCATATACATGAGCTGTGTAAATCTCAGGACTGGATGGATAGGAATGATAAGCCTTTGGTAGATATAAAAGTTTATATCTATGTCTTTCTTCTGTAGATTTAGCAATCTGTCAGGAGTTCAGGTTCAGATACTAATATGTTTATTGTTTTGTTTATTGTCAAAGGATTTTTGGCTGTCAGTCGAGCAATACCTATTTGTTTGCCCCCTTCCGCATACAGCAGCCAATCAGTGGCATCGGGGCAAACCGTAGACATCTGAAACTGGTGTAAGTTCACAATTGTCACCTGACATCAGTGGGTATCATGAGCCTAAGTGTGCGCAGCATTGCTTGACTGATGACTGATATGAATTCGGCCTCATCATTGTGGGATGTTGTGTATTCTGTGATCTAGGGCCACATCTAATGTATTATCAGGCATGCTAGGAAGATACAGGCGTCCATGTTGATGTAACAGTTGTCCTGTGTTCACCTTTCCCATTCTCCATGTGAGATCTGAGTCCGACTGAAGGGTTTGATGTCCAGGTTCTGTCTCTGATACGGTTTTCTCTTTCCAGGAAGCGATGAATCTCCCTCCAGACAAGATCAGCGTTCTCCGGCAGTATGACCAAGACAAGAAATGGGAGCTGGTGTGTGATCAGGTACGTGGGGGGGATGTCATCAGCTGTGCATGTCCTAACACAGATCTGTTTTATCAGGAAAGGTTCCAGGTGAAGAACCCACCGGTTACCTACATCCATAAACTCAGAAGCTATGTGGACAGTGGCGGGATCAGCCGCAAGGTAAGCTACCACACATGTTTAAAGCATTCTCTACCATTATTATAATTAGGAGGCAAATGAATTGCTGTGGATCGTATTGAAGGGACCTATGGCAGCTCCTAGACCAATGTTACACCGACAGTTGGTAAATCTTTGGAAAATAGTGTCCACAATTATACTCTTTCAGGGCCATGCCTATAATGAGGTCACCTCCGGCGGCATCTCATTGGGTCACTTCTGGGTGTGCCTGCTGCTCCGTTTCCTGCCAGAGCATCCCAGGTTGCTAAGAGTTCTTAGCAACCGGTGACTCTCTATCCGACGTGCCACCCAGCTCACTGTTGTCACTGATTGTCAGGAGCTGAGCGGGATGCTCTGGCTGGGATTCTGCCCAGCTCCTGGCAACCAGTGATGTCAGTGAGCAAACCAATACCAACAGCAAACCAACCTCGCCCCTCAACCCCCCCC